TTAGGGTCTACTCGTAGGTATTTGTTCCAGACCGCTAGGAGGGATCCTTTCATGTATACCACACTTTAAAGTAATAAGTTTATGCTACGTAAGATCAGTGTCTGAATGGTCAAAGCGTATTACTCGTATAGAATACACAGGTAATGTGTACCTACAATAAACGAATATCATATTCGTTTATTGTACTGTTTATTGTATAGAATCGTATTTTATAACATCGTTATTGTATAGGAGTCGAAACTCAAATAAATGAATATGGTAATTCCATTTAGTCTGATTAGGTTTTTTTATATTTTTCGTTTACGCAAAGAATATAATATAATCAAAGAAGTTGTATTCCAATCAGCAATAAATTCCGATATGTGTCTATTTAATTAGGTTCATGCATACATTTAGCAGTTTTCTCATAGCTATACGAGTTATAGATTCTTATCACGCGCAATACAAATTACAAGTAAAACGATCTGCTGTCCCTTTAAATAGACGTCTCTCGATTGAACATCCCTTTCCTATCAAAACAAATATTAGACACTCGCAAAACGATTCGAGACTTTATTTTAAATATTTTAGGGTTCAAATTCGGGGTAGTTGTGTCAAAACAAGAAATGATCACCCACAACCCGCACTGGCCGGTCTCTAGGGTCCGAGAGTTCCAATATATTTGTACGGGCTTGCGACCTGGCAACTCTTCAAGATTACTGTCAGCAAATAAGACAGGCCGACGTGCTCTGGAAGGTAGATGTTCGATAATGCGACCTACTGCAACCCACTTACGTTACAGTCTGTCCAGTAATAACGTGATAATTTCTGTTTGATATTGGAGGGGTGCTCAAGTAGTGTTTGATAAAGTTTTAATAACTCATGTGAGTTGCAATATACTTATTAGTGTTACGTACACGTCTAATATATTCACTTATAGTTTTATAAACACAAAATCTTTTTTTCCGCCGGACATGGTCTGAGCGTAGCCTCTGAAACTGGGAAGTAGAACGGGTGCAGATTGCTGAGCAGGCTCGAGCCATCGAAATCCGTTCATGACCTTGTTAATATTTTTTACAATGATATATTTTATTAATAGAGTAATCATTACAAATCATTCTATTACTATTTTTTTATTTCTTTTCTTCCACTAAAGCAGGCTTCGATGAACAGTGCAAAAAATGTAGTGGAATAGTAAGTCCTTAAACCACAAACTTATCGATTAACAAAGCCACCTGTGATGCTGACTTTATACACTTGATGCGCTTGGTTATATTTGCTAAGACAAAGAAGGAGAGGTATGTCCTAATTGACATTATTCTCTCATAAATAAAATTAATATTGCGATTACTGTACGATATATTGCTGCAATTGTTCGTTTTTTAATTAATTATTGTTTCACGTTGCCAAGGATACAGCATAAGGCATGAAGTACGTTTTTAATCATCATTATTATGAAAAAAAAATTCATTTAGAGCTAGGGATCCACAGCGAGGCAAAGTCTAGTAAATTATATAATATACTTATACTAATTTTTATCTGCAACTTCGATTCAACCTTCGCGTAAAGGTTATTTTGTTTATCATTTTAAAAACAGTACTGTTTTTTTCTGGATGAAATAATACAATGAATATTTTCTACAAAGGGTCCGTCCAGGACACCGAGGTTTATTACCGAGTACAGAAAAAATACTTTTAGTTAAAATGTTTATTAACGCAAGCAAAGTTGCACACAATAGCTTGTTGTTAAATAAACCGTATACCAAACACGTAGAATAATGCAATCTACGTGATATTGCAACGTTGCTATTATATTTGACATATTCCGTTTCGGATGCAGTTTGAGTCGTGTTTATGATGCTACGTGCGATCAGAAACTACATTGATGTTATGATTTTTAATCTTGAAAACACTAAACAAATTGATATTGTATGCTAGCTAACATCTTTGTTTTATTGCACATATCTACCCACACTTATAATATCCGGAGGGGTAAGCCGAGGTGTAATAAAAACGTGCCCTTTGTTAACTACAATTTGTTCCTACTCAAATCATAAGTTTAGTTTACCATTTTGTAAACTGAGCTGAGGATTTAGAAGTATCAAGTATAAATTATTCTATCATTTTTCATACTTATTATTTTTGTATAGAGATTTATTTACGAAAAGTTGTTCCAGACGTTAACTAAATTATGAGATACTATTTACGGAGTATCAACTAATTTTTATAAATGCTTGATTTAATTAGTGTAGCCCAGATAAAGGTCCTAGTGCTAAGAACTGCTTCACTACGTTGATATATTTAAGTTACATTCTTCATACCATTCTTGAAAACATAACTGATCTCTTGACCACAACTTTGTGTTACACAGAGATCAAATAACAACTTTGTAAATATACAACGTTGTTATTTACAATCAGTTTCAGCTCTGTTCAAATTCTCCGACTGTTGACCATAGTTAGATAATTGTCAATTACATATACCAACATGGCAGTAATATGATGATGACACGAAGCTTTAGTTTAAATGGTCACCTTACCAACTGCTGTAACTATGTCCGTGTGGTGACGGATTAAGAATACGGAGTGTCACCACCCCTATTCATCTATTCCTCCCGTTTGCCCCTATTCCATAAAAAAAAGAGACGACTAAGGGACCAAACTACGCAGGACAACACCACTGCAAAGAGAAGGAAAACTTGACACGAACTTTATACCAACCCGTCTAGCCAGCGTGGTATAGTAGACCAAAATCAGTTTTCTAAGGAGAGGCCTATGTCCAGAACTGGATTATTAAGGGCTGATGATGATGATGATGAACCAACTGCTAGAAAGCAACAATAATATTTAAATAGCTAATACGTTATAGGTCTAATAGGAGGATACACGAAACATTATTATTTCTCTATAAGTAGTAACTAACTCTAAGTAAACTAAAAAGGATACAAAACATAAAATAACTAAATCAGCTAAAGGTATGTTTTATGTATTTTATGAATCAGATCCATGTAAATCGGGGCTTTGCTTATAAAGTTATGACTATTGCAGGGCTTACGGATTGAGAGATACGTGGCGGTTAATATTATGCAAACATTAAATACAATTTAGTTAGTAAAATAAAATAAATAAATACCAGGGAATATTTGCAGCGTAGAAGATGTTTTTATTAACATCTTGTTAACTACTATTTTCCTCATCCTCAAAAAAAATATGTATATTAGTATTATAACTGATTAAATATACACAAAAAAGACGTGTGGCACTCGGGGACTGCCGCGGTAAAGCTATTGCATAGCATTTTGTATCAACTTATGCAATTATAATTATTTATTTATTTTATTTATGCAGTATTTCTTTTTCTTTGATATTAATTCAAGTTACACTTTTTGAGCGTGGTGACCGATAAGAAAACATTTTTTTTTCTTTTATTAAATAAAAATATTGAAGCATATATTACAATTTGTTTTAAAATAAATAAATAAAAAATATTATTATTAAATCAAATTACATATCCATGTAAGATTTTTCTGCATTATGTTGACGAAATTTCCTTTGACGTTCAGCATTTGATTTTGGTACTGTTTTTTGTTTTGTTTTTAGCGTGAGGTTTTTTTTCGTTACGGAATTTCTGGATTCGGTCCCCGCGCTCAAGGCCCTCGATAGAAGCTATGCAATAGCTTAATACTCATGGATACTTTACAGGTGCATGACACTGACTCGGTGACTCGTGACTGAGGTCGTCGAGCCAATACTAGTTAGATTTACCAGCATCTACAATTTTGTACTTGTGCTTTGAGATAAACTTTATTAATTCTTTCTTTTTTATTTACTAAAACAAAGATTTCATTTTGTGCTTCAAGGTATGTAACTGCATCTGAAATACAAAGAAATTTAAAATACTTTTGTTAAAAGATATAAATATCTTGTTTTATACCTTATCAAACTGTGGGACAACCAGAAACAACGATAACCACATAATAATCAACATGGAGCAAAAATAATTACAAGCCTTATTGACAAAGTTCTGTGTCGAGTGTCGGGAAGAGAATAAAAGATATATGTATGTAAGTATAAGACGCTGCATAATTGAAAACCGCGGTTTGGCCCAATAACAATGGAACCCGTACAGTAACGTTCGCCGAGTATAAATTAGGGAATTATATTAATCGCGTATAACGTGCGCCTCCGCCCGCCCCACCGAGCGTCTAACGAGCTCACTCTTGTTGCGGATTACGTACTTGTAGCTGAAAATTACACTTTATTACGGTTTGACTCTAGGAATTCGAGAACTTTAATTAGAACATTCTAACGTTCAAATATTCCTCTACAAATGCTTTCAACATTATCTTTTATTTTAGATAAGTTTTATCTAACTTCAGTAAGTCAACAAGACTAAAAAATATGCTTAGATTTGTCTTACCGTCTCAAAATGTCTGGGCCCATATTGAAAAGATGAGAATAAGCAGGTATTTTTGAGAACATTAGCGCACTCGACGTTGTTATTCATCATTTAGAAGCACAATCAATTTACGAAAAGATTAAGCCGCTAAAATTACAGTAAGATAACACGATGTTAGCGTCTTACCTGGGGAAGGATTCAGTCACCCAGATAAGTAAATATATTGCTCTCAATTACCAGAAAAGAACAGATATTAGAGGAAATCACTGTAATGTGATTGTCGCTGTAATCTAAACGAGCCCCAGCAAAACTCAAGGGAACTTGTTACAACGTTTATCAGTAGGCTTCACTGTTATGTTCTGTGTAGGCCTTTGTTTATGATGAGGCTCGATACACCTTATTACATGTTTTGATATTCCCTAAGCATTGTTTAACGTTATAACGCGATATTTAAAGTTTGAACACACTTGTCAGTGTGTGTTTTCATAAAACAAAATCTTCTATTGTTTTTGAACATAATAATACAAATAGCGGACATCGGAGTACATATTTATTTCTTTGTATCCATATATTCATCAATCACAAGTTAGCGGCTTCCCCTAACATTAGTCCGCAGTCAATGACCTAGCAATTTCCATTGATACAACTTGCTCTATCACTGGCTAGGAATATTACTAGTTCAGCTACATCTTCCACTCCAGCCACTTTCCCGCGCAAAGAGCTCCTTTCAATACCTTTCAACATTTTTTCACAGTCAGTGTTACTCATACCGCCTCGTCGAAATAGTTCAGTTTTCACAGGGCCTGGATTTACAGCATTAACTCTCACTCTTCTTGGTCCCAATTGGCATTTTGTAAACATGTCAAGACCTGCTTTTGACATGCAGTATGAAGCAATGAAAGGTATCGGTTTATTTGATAATATACTGGAAATATTTACGATGTTATCGTTTGTTTTTATCAGGTACAAGGTACAAGCTTAGTTTTAAGTAAGTACGCTCCTCGAACGTTGGTAGTTATTGATCGTAAGCCTCCATTGGCGTGTGTGCTCCGGGTATAACGTTCACACCGGCACTATTTATTAGTACGTCGATCTTAGAAAACTTCTTTACAGTTTCTTCGGTAATTCGTTCAATATCATGCTCTGATGTTATGTCTGCAACTGTAATTAGTGGTTTGAGATGATTTAACTTTTCGCACTGAAGAGCAATTTTCGATATAGTGTTTAAATTTCGAGCTACTAATACCAGTGTTGCTGAATATTGTGCGAATTTTAGTGCACAAGCTGCTCCTATACCGGAGCTTGTACCAGTTTATTTTACTACTTTATTGCTGAAGGATATCCCGTCTGCCCTTAGTTTAACTTGGTAAAGACTGAGAGACATAATGGACGAGTCCTGTATTATACGAAACGAAAAGGATTTAGTGACAACTCTATGCATTTGATTTCATCTGGTTATGTACAACTCATCTGCTTATTTTTATTATCGATTTAATTGTGGATAGAGGTAGATAAGTTCTCTCTTATGTTATGAATATCGAGTTTAACACAAATAATTTAGTTCAATAAGTGTTTACCTTTACAAAAATTGTCCACCCAAGCTCCAATAGTCGACCATACACACAAATTGTGGTTGTTCAAGTTCATCATCATCCTATCGCAGTCCACTGCTGGACATAGGCCTCTCCCATTGCACGCCACTTATATCGATTTTGGGCTTCTCGCATCCAGCTCCTGACAGCCATCTTGCGCAAATCGTCACACCACCTGGCCTGTGGGCGACCTACACTACGTTTGCCGAGACGCGGTCTCCACTCAAGAGCTCGTTTTCCCCAACGGTTATCGGTTCTGCGGCTAATATGGCCAGCCCACTGCCACTTCAGCTTGCTGATCCGGTACGCTATGTCGGTGACCTTAGTTCTCTGCCGGATCACCTCATTTCTGATGCGATCCCTTAGAGAAACGCCGAGCATAGCCCTTTCCATAGCACGTTGAGCGACTTTGAACTTGTGGACCAGCCGTACCGTAAGTGTCCACGTTTCAGCTCCGTATGTCATGATGGGTAGGACGCACTCATTAAAGACTTTCGTCTTAAGGCACTGTGGGATCGACGATGAGAAGACTCGACGTAGCTTCCCAAACGCTGCCCAACCCAACCGAATTCTTCTGTTTACCTCGTCCTCGAAGTTGTTTCTACCTAACTGCAATGTCTGCCCGAGGTACACATAATTTTGAACAACTTCGAGAACGGCACCGTGTACCGCAATCGGTTCCGGTAGTACATGTTCGTTGAACATGACCTTGGTTTTATCCAAGTTCATCCGTAGGCCGATGCGTACAGAAGTGTCAGCTAAGTCATTCAGCATTTGCTGTAGGTCCTGCAACGTCTCTGCCATGATGACGTAGTCATCTGCAAATCGCAAGTGAGAGATGTATTCGCCATTGATATTGATGCCACGCCCTTTCCAGTGCAGCGTCTTGAACATGTCCTCCATTGCATTTCTGAACAATTTCGGGGAAATAACGTCCCCTTGTCTCACTCCTCGATGCAATGGTACGGGCCTTGTTTGCTGATTCTGTACTTGGACGGACATGGTGGCGGCATCTCATCACTTGGATGTATCGCCAATCTACTTGGCAACGCTGCAGGGACTCCAGAACAGACCAGATCTCGATCGAGTCAAAGGCTTTCTCATAGTCCACGAATGCTAGACACAGGGGCTGATTATATTCTTCGGTCTTCTGTATAATCTGCCGCACTGTGTGGATGTGATCTATGGTGCCATATCCGCTCCGAAACCCAGCTTGCTCCGGTGGTTGGAATTCGTCGAGTCTTTGCGCAAGACGGTTCGTGATGACTCTCGAAAACAGCTTGTAGACGTGGCTTAGAAGGGATATGGGTCGATAGTTCTTCAACCTGGTCTTGTCACCCTTTTTGAAGAACAAGACGACCACAATCCTACTCCACGCTTCTGGAGTTCTCCCTTCTAACAAGACAGCGTTGAAGAGCTTTTGGAGCTCCCTTAGTACGGGTTTACCCCCGGCCTTCAGCAGCTCTGTTGTAACGCCATCCTCTCCAGGGGCTTTTCCATTTTTCAGCTGTCCAAGAGCCATCTCGATTTCGTCAATGCTAACTTCTGGCAGGTCTTCGGTGTAGTGACGTGTTAATGTGGCTCTAGAGTCCTCATTTTCGGGATCAGGTCGAGATGCATGCGAAGCGTATAACCGGCCATAGAAGCTTTCCACTTCCAAAAGGACTGCCGGCTTCGAAGCAACGACTTCTCCACTTTCTGTAGTCAACTTTCTCAGGTGGCTTCTTCCAAAAGATTGTACGAACACTTTTGACCCCCGATTTTGCTCGATCGCTCTTTCAATTGAAAGAGTATTGGAGCACCGGAGGTCGTGTCGTACGAGTTTACTGATCTCTCGGTTTAGAGTCCGCTTTGCCGACAAAGTGACAGGTGGGTTTTCACGTCGTTTCTTCATCAGCCCTAGGGTCCTTTTTGAAATCTTCGACTTCCTGCCCTTACGCTGCATTTCACAAAATCTCATACCTTCTTCCCTGAGGATCTGAACCACATTTTTGAGGTTCTGGTTTACGTCGATTGTGGTTTCCACGGCAGCGAATCGGTTTTAAAGTTTTGACTGGAACGTTTCAGACCCTGTCATGGCTTGGAGCCGAGTTGGTCGGAGCCTGGATTTCATCAAACAGACACGTTCCGCCTTAAAGTTGATATTCAGAGAGCCCCGGACAAGTCGGTGATCACTACCGGTATTAAACCTGTTGATCACTGAGACGTCTCTGAATATGTGCTTTCTATCCGTCATGATGAAATCGATCTCATTTCTAGTCATAGCATCGGGGCTTTGCCACAGCCACTAAAACAACCCCTCCCGTTCGAGGAAGTTGACCAGCATTTGCCCCCTATGATTCCTGCTTTCAAATCCATGGGATCCTACTACCGATTCGCCGCAATTCTGTACTCCCACTTTAGCGTTGAAGTCACCCATAACAACGTTGTAGTGGGTCTTAGTTGTGAAGTGGAGGGCCCTCGATATGTCATCGTACATATCCTCCACCTCGTCGTCCGAATGTGCCGAGGTCGGTGCGTACACTTGCACAACCTTGAGGCTATACCTCTCGGTGAGCTTGATAATGAGGTACGCTACCCTGTTCGACACACTGGAAATTTCCACAACGTTGTCAGATAGGGACTTATTTACCAGAAACCCAACCCCACCTTGGGATTGTTGGTCTCCCTCGCGGAAGTACATTAGGTGGCCTGACTCGAGGGTTATGGTGTCCTCCCCCTCTCTTCGGACTTCACATAGCCCTAGGATATGCCACCTAATCTTCCCAAGTTGCGCCAGATGCGAGTCTAGCCGTAGCGTGCGTCCGTTGTACGTAGCCAGGGTCAGTCGGTTGTGGTGGCCTCCCGTAGCCCGGAGATTCTTCGCACCCCCTGCCCCGCCTTTACCGTGGTCGCCACCATGACCAGGAATAGCGGGGCCGCCGGGAACTGGGGGCCGTGGCCTTTGTTGCGTCTGCATGGGAGGGGTTTGTCCATAATCGCCACGCTGGGCAGGCGGGTTGGCGATCGCAGGGCGTAGCTTGTCGCACCGGTGACGCTGCTGCCCATCACCGGCCTGTTGTATTTAGCTACGCCTATTGGGATGGATATACCGCCATCGGTCGGTCGCCAGAGCCTCGTTCGTCGTTCAGCAGGATGCACCGCGGGCAGGTGAGGTTGGCTTGGGGCGAAAGATGGTGGTTCGCCCCTCACACCCAAGTTGCTTACTATAAATGGACATACTTCGATCGGATCGTACTTATACTAAAATAAATGATTGTTCCCTTCTTTTAGAAAAATGAACAGAGTTAATGAATTTCTAAAAAACAAATAATAGAACTGTTTATTTTCAGTGAAGCATTAATTTTCTCTTTAGTTCCAAATATAAATGTGAATGATAAACTAGTTTGTTTTTGACAAGTGGTAGTATGGTCTATGTATGTATATTTACAGAAGTTGTAGTAGTAGTTTAAAGGCAGTCTTAAAGCCCTATCTAAACTTACTGGCTAAAGAAAATAGTTTATCGTGGTGTCTCTGTTTGTTATCTGGCGTTCCACGTTCATCAAGTAAAAAAATGATTGCTACTATAGTGCTTATATATTATAATCTCCTTTTACTTTTCTTCAGACAAAAAAGAAGATAAGTGCTTTTTATTTTATTCGTTTTTAACTATTTTATTATAATGTTGATAACAAAACAATAACAATGTACGTGCCAAATGTACCAAAATAATGCCAGTTCCATGAACATTTCAGTTAAAAAAAAAATGACTATACATAAACTGATTTTTACATTTACTTTACTTTGATACAGCTACGGTAAGAAACTTACAGATGACCTACAGATGTAAGGTCCAGTAAGAAACCTACAGGTGCATATTAATATGCACTCTTACCTCGGTCCTTTGTTTTTAAGTTCGTCATAGGTCATAATATTCATTCATCATTGATCATAATAGTTTATACTTATTAACTTCTTAAAGGACACTGGATACTTTCATAGATATGTGGTATTTTATGCGCTATCATACAATTCATAGCGCTCATCAGATCATCATGAAATTTGACATACACGTGGGATAAAATACCTGTAAAATAGTGCCACCCGCCGGTAAAAACTGGTAAATCGTGTTATTTACATCAGTACTAGCTTTTGTGCGCCGTTTCTTTCGGTTATTTTTCCGTATTCGGACTCTTTTATTTTTCTGAAATTAACTTACAATATGTCCTTATCTTGCACAATAATACTTTTGGCATATACTTATGTAGCAGATGCGTCGAAAAATATTTTATGTTGTTTGGCTGAGTCGTTAACGCATGAAACAAAACACACACACTCACTAATATGATAAATGCAGATTTATGATATTAGAGACATCTCGTCGTCGTGAGAGGGTAGTCCAGAAACACTGAAACCATTGCCCAGAGATTGATAATTATTTGACCGTCAGAATGCTTTTCTATTCAGAAGTTACGCTATGCTAGCTATGTTTTGTAGCAATAGTAGGTAAGAGTGCATTGGATTGTTAATGAAACTCACTTCGTTCCTCTCATACATTTTATTTGAGTCATCTCGATATACGATAGACAACATTTAAAATTTGAAGCGAATTTTATTTACATTATAACTTATTAATAAACAAAACTTATAATAAAAGCTCCCTAAATTGTCTTTGGCACTTGCTTTATACTAATACTTTATTATTTAAAGATGAAAAGTTTAGAACTGAATGATTACCTAAAAATGGATTTTGACACTTATAAAAATACATCGTACAGTATAAATTGAACTACAACCAAATTTCGATCTTATTAAAATGTTGGTAATTATATAATGGTAAATCCATTGTATGTTTATATTACGTGTTCCAATAGAACTGGCAATCCATGTACACCAAGATCCGATGACATATTTCCATGTATTACTTTACCTTAACTTTATTATTTTAATTTTGTTTATGCATAGAAACAAGAATACTACGAACGAATTGTATATAGGCCAAAGCCCATAAGTGGAAAACAACAATTCAAACTTAATTGTTTACATCTACTTACAACTAAATAAAATTACATTGATTAAAAGTACAATCGCGGATACATTTCGGTTCAATATATATTTAAGAACTGTTTCTACTAAAAAAAAGTATAAATAGTACTATTTTCGTATAAACTGGTATTTTACTAAAACCACAATAACAAGTTATAAGTTAATTAAACAATTTTTTCAAGAAAATGATAGGACAGATTGATATTGCTAAAAATATTTTCATATCTTCTTTGATCAACTTTGAAAGAATATGTTACTAAATTGAGATTTAAACCCTTCAAAAGCATAGCAAATCTCTTCTCAAAGGATTCTTATAGATCACAAGACTACATTTGAGTTGGAATAAATGAAACAACTTGAACCTACCTCTGTAATCTGATTATCGATTTAAAACGCATGGCATATGTTCAAACATATATATGTATTGAAAAGGAAGATACCACTTTTGTAGAGGCTTTGTCATTTCGGCAGGTGGACGCTGGGCCTTAAGCAATAAGGATCGTGATTTCAATACCTGAAGAGAGAAACGGTTTACACTCCCGAGAGGGATTTGAAGCGACCGTATAATTTACATATTTATATTTAGCCAACAATATTATCATTGCAAATTAGTTTTCTCAAGGGCAAGATTTAAGAACTAAATTTATTTAATTAAAGAATACAAATTTTAATTAAATGGTACGAATTAACCATGTTGTTTTTCATCTTAATGAGACTGTTTCAATCTTTTTTGGTGTCAATATTTTCCGATCAGTCCAAGAAATTAAATTACACACAGGGTAAATAAAGTAACTCGAGTCATTTTTTCGTATCAAGTGAACTGTTTCAGTATGCCAGGACCTGGTACATGAAGAGTTTTGAGAAATTGTTTTAGTAACGATCTCTTCGATGAAATAATTGTTATAGTACTTTAGTATCTTTTTTATTCAAAGTTATGTTGATGAATGTGACACGCTAACTACTAAGCACTTGGTTTTAGGGAGTTAAACGAGTCCAAAATCATCTTGATCGTATGTCTGCCATAGTTGCGAATGAAGCGAACTAGCTATGCAAATGTTCTCTATGTGACTACATCTACTCGTTATTTAATATTGATGTTAAAAGAGTTAATAAAACAAACTTTACTCGCGCGATTTAGGAACTGATAATACATTAAGTTTGGAACAAGAAGTAAAATAGCAATTGCAAAGAAATGAATTTTTTCGACTTAAAACAGGATTTAATTTTGAGTTCTATTTGTATAGATATATATTATATATATCCTTCGCTTTTTATTTAACTGGCGTAATTTACATATAACATAATGACACACTAATGATAAGACATCTACCAGATAAGGAATACAATTATTGTGTTTGTTCTCATGAGAAAGGGGGGAAAGACCTACGTTCTTCTTCATACATGTTATGGCATCAGCATAATTTAATGGTTTTTAAATATATTAAATATTAGCGAGTTTGAAAAAAAGTGAATCTTGCAACATTAATAACTATACAGAAAATCCGGTCATGGTTTAATCGGCCGATATAAAATTGATGATTATGGTGCGAGTAAAATCTGTTTAATGCACTCTACCGTACACTAGTAAATATGGCCGAATAGTAGCCATAAAACACTCGTAACTTTGTACAAAAATGATGTGTGTAAACACTGGAGGGAGTGCGATACTGGACGTTTGTGTTATAACCACCCTTTTACACTTACAACATTAACACGTACTTACAGTTACGTTATATAGTACACTATAATTAAATCTAAAGAAGGTTAGTAAATAGTTATTGGTGCGTAGTTTGTACAGGAACTCATTGGGAGGGTGAACGCGATTCAAAGTTTAATCTCGTTATTAGTTTCACCGATGTCCTGCCTGAATACATTTTCAGTGATCGGTTGAAACATTACCGTTATTAGAGATTTCGTTATATACATTTATACGGATTAATGTTGTGGCATACTTTGGAAATGTAATATGTTCATATTTTCAGTATATATGGCAGAGTCCGGTCACGATCGATAAACGCCGAACCAATGTATTATTATTTTGTTCGACGAAGCATGAAGGAGCTACACCACAATATTTCGCTCACAGCCATTTTTAAATGAATTTCGTTTTACTTATCAAAAAGCATTTTCGATGAACTGGAAATTGCAAAAAAATACAATTATACGATATTTATACTACAATCCTACTAGATATTGAGCAGGTACTTCTGACTCCTGACTTTAATTGTCATTGACAAACAAAAAGACTTAGGCTTAAAATATGCTACTAATATCCTATTTAATCTAGATTAAACTTACGAATGTTAACAAAAAATTGGCTAAAGCATTTAAGGACGTATTTACATTTAGTTAAAGTTAGAAGTACAAAAACTGTATCAGGAATATCTAAAAATTCAAAGCTTTTGCATGTGGCAAAAAAATATGGTTTTCGTTGTCATAATTTGAATTATTGTGTTAAGAATGGATGTCTTACTACTTTATAAGTATATCAATTCAATAATCTATTATATTTTGAAAATGCCATTAACTTCGCAAATGTAATTACGCCGATAAACAGTAAAGTTAAGTACTTAATTTATTAAAATCTAATTTATATAAAAATAATGTTCCTACTTCTACGACTAGAAGCGGCTGTACACGTCTAACATTTAAACATAAATATTTACAACTACGACTGATATTAATGTGTACAACATTAAACTAGTTACAAAAATCTAGACGATAATTAAAAACTAGACACAGATTTAAAAAGTTGACTGCTTAAAATCGAACGACTAAAATTCGAGATCACAATATTGCTTGGCAATATAAATCTTAAAAGTAATGACTAGCAACCTAGTTGAGATTATAATATCTAGTATATATCTAGATACGAACATGACATGTATCGAGTATTTATGTGTGAGTTAACTCAAAGTCACTGTAAACGTGCGCAATTATGTTGAACAACTAAAATAATTTTTGGTCTTACTACATTGTTCATTTTTTATATAAGGGACAAATAGACCATTTTAAACTGCCAAATTAAGCTTTAGTACGTGAAAGTAAGCTTTATTAAGGCGTCAATAAAATAATATATAATCTTAAATGAATCTTTTTGGAACTTCATCAAATTTGTTCAGAAATTTTTCATCATGAAAGAAGAAACTGTTCCCGAACGATAGACAAAATTACTTTACGTAAGACACAGTCACCGGCGATATTAATTATATTAAATCTATATGCATATAGACCTTGTTGATGAAATTGCAGTGTATAACTTGTATGTATTAGTAATTAGTTATTTACCATTCATTTACCATTGGTCTCCGCGAACTATCGCCAGGATACGTTTCTGTGGCGAGCGAGCAATACTTTTAACAAAAAATTTAAACATTTAGAACTTGACGTATTTGCGACTAGTCAGCAAGTAGTAAGACGGTCTCTTAGTCTTGAGTTCTTCTCAAAATACTAATTGTATTAAGTGTTGTACTTGATTCTTTCTTGAACTTATAATCGCTTTTAATTATGAAAACCTCGCACTTACTTATTGTAAACTGTTATCTATTCGTGAAGACCTGTCAATGGCTGAATGTAACCTTTTCAAATATTAAACCAATTTGTAAAGCTGTTGGTCTTCCAAGATTAAATAAATTAATAAATAAAAATAAATTAAACCGAAATTTTAAATGGAATTCAATATGAATATACGTACTTGTTACAAAAGACTATCATTTGACAGTTTAAAATTTGGCTAAATCTATAATAGAGCGAATGTAGTGAGACTGTTAGAAGAATTGACAAATGGTCGTAAAAAAAGAAATATGTACATATCTTGGTATTACTGGTTATATATGTAGATAGACCTCGTGAGAAATATGATTAACATGTTTCTCGGTGTTAAATAGTTTACAAAGACCATTCCGTATGTACCAATTTTTACACTTAGTTGTAAGAAAGTGGTATTAGTAGTTAGACTCTTGGAATTATCGGAGGCGTAAAATAGTTTAAGAATTCTTGAGATGGTGGGCATCATGATCGCATCGGCGCAGGACTGCGAAGTGCGTCATCTGAAAGGTGTTGGTGGAGCGACTGCCACGCTCTAGGGTGCCCGTCATTGTGTAGCCCATGTTGAAATCCGCCTGTGTTACGTTCGTTGTCAGATACAACTGTTGGCAGATAAAACAAAATAAAACTGTGAATGCAGAAGATTGATATCAATTCAGCCTGTAGGAGCATAATAACGGAAGATAAAATATACAACATTATGTCTTAACTTCAATGTATGGCGAAACTTTGTCGCGTAGAATGAAAAAGTGACATAGAGAATTTCCTGTTTGATATGTAGTACTTATTACGAGGGTTGGGTTTAACAGCCGAAAGCTAATTTATATTGAATGTTTTCAAAATCATCATACGATTGGTGTTTGCTAAAAAATCCTTGCTTTTTGGTAGAAACTAATCAGCAAACGAGTATCATCATAATTTCAGCCAAAATACTTCCAAGAGGTCTTCTAAAGGCTCGCCACAGCAAACAGTCCTGTGCTGCCCACATGGCAACGACAAATAAATATCAAACTACAGCTTAAAAGAAAATATAATACATTTTTACCTTAAAGTCAGCATCAGTTCCCATATGTTTAAATGTGCCTACGATGTAGACGGCATTGGCTCCGCTTATCACCATCCGAGCCTGGGTGCTGTGTCTGTAACAATATCAAACTATTATTAAGTTTTTTTACAAATGTACCGGCCGGGCGGCCGTACAGTGCATTTCGACTCGGAACACCTGTCTACGGATCACAAAAATAATTGTTCCATGCCAGGACTTCACCCTGAACTTTAGAAGCACTGATAGATAGGGAGATAGGGCAACAAATGCCGTTTCTATCTATTCTAGTGTGTTCGTATTAAAATAATTTTATTTGTTGGTTATGGTAAAATGTAAGGAACCTAGCCGACTGGTTCTCTCTACTGAGCACATTTGGGAATACCTAACAGAAATTATCACGATTATCTCCATCCCTTGGACCATCATTCGGACGATAATAGCAAAAACGTGCGTTTTTACTGTCATCGTCCATTAATGAAGCAGACATACTGATGATAGGTTAAAAATAAATTTAAAATTGAGGCCATTTATTCTCTCTTCACGAGATTTGAACACTTTTCCCTTAGGAAAAAAGTTATCATCCGTTTTCAGTAGCTTTTATGTGTTTTAAAAAGTACCTAACTTTAATGTCTAAAGTTTACAACATAAACTGTTTTTTTCTTAGCGTTGATGGTCACAGAGTATGTAGGAATACACAAATAGAAATTTGTTGTACGAGTAGTAGTGAAGGGAACAATTTGGACTTTATGGATAATAACATTGAGAAAATCATGATCAAATTCATGGATTATTAATACAATTACAAAGCTTATTGTCGTTCTAAGTTTTTTAATTTGCCAGTTCGTTATCTAAAGTTCCTCCCTTAGTTTTCTTGAATGTTATTCAATTATTTTAAAGTCTTAGTGACTTATAATATTCAGATACACAAGGTGTTACAAACAGAAAGTATATTTTTTTTCTTTTAGAGTCGTATTGTCAATAACATAAACTAAATTCAGGAAACATTGCAACTTTCTGTATAAAAAGGGATGGCTGAATGGTTGTTGAGATAAACCGAAGTTGTTGGTAGAAATGTTTGAAATAGAATAGTTAGAAATATAAAAAAATAAAAACAGAGACGTAACCAGAACGTGTAAAGAGCATTTTTTGAAAATAGTATTTTTTTTTATTTGTTGTGGTCTTTCTCAACAATCTATAGGCTTTGTACAACGATTCTGAAACATAGTTATCTATAAACAGATTTAAAAATTATACTCTTCATACGAAGTCTCAGTTCAAGAGAAAAATAAAACATTCTGACTTTTCAATAAAGGAACAATAAATGTAGCATCCTTTTTAGATAACGTCTTGGTTTACGTGTATTGTGGAGACAGGTAATGTGTGATACCACAGTTTGTCACGCTACCGCCCCACTACGAAGAATTAGTACACGACGCTAACCTGGCTGTGTTTCTACTGTAATATATTTGTCCCTAGATTAAAGGCTTTATGTCTTATTAAAACATGTTGAGGGAAACACTTTCTACTATTTCAACCGTATCAAATAGGTCATTACGATGTTTAATAATAATAACTTGGCACATCTTACCCTGCTGTCTGGTCCTATTTAAAGTAGAGCCTATGTTATGATATCCAGACTGTTGACAAACATGCTTACATAATTCTACAGACAGAATTAGAATACAGAAGTTAATGATTATAAGTATGTGTGTGTGCGTGTAAGTAGGCACATCGCCGATACAGGCATCTGTTGATATGGTTTCGACTCAATGATACAAGGATATTCTTCTTAGTTTTGTAGAACTTTATCTTTTATATAAATCTATATATAAAACTAAAGAAAAATAACGCGGCGTCGTACAAAGACAAACTGGTAATATGTTGTCGACGCTCGGTGATTTATCTACGGCCAACTTCCTCATAAATGCCTCTACGAATTATTTGCTGTAACAGACACATGTACCACTAAGTGATAAATTGTTATCAGAGGTCACCGTGCTGTTATTTTTAATAGAACTGATAATATTATATAACAATGGCAGAAACATATTTACTTAAAACTTAAGCGTTTAAGTCTTATAATAAATAGGCTATTTTTGAATAACTAATTTGACCTACATAAGTACGTAATGTCTGACATATTCGCTTTTACGTATAACTGACTAGGGACGCGTGATTGCATTATAATATTATAGCACGTTTTATCGATAAGCTATTCAAAGCCAAAAAAAAACAATATACCGCACAGAATGATGAGAAAAAGATATTGTCAATGATAACGGTACATAACTATATATATCGATGTTTTCAAAATGTCGCACTCATGCAAAAAAAAGTAGGCGAACGATATGGTTTTATTTCCTTCCAAATGTTATAAGGTCAATTAATCAGAGAATGATCAAGAATAAATTCTCAAGCGATTTGGAAATTTTTAATATTTAAACGCTACCATTTTACTTCAAATAAAATTATGTATGGGGACTTACCATTGTCCTTGAGCCGAAGTCCACGGAGTAAAATAGTGTACTTAGGCCGGAGTGTATGTCGTTATGCAAATAAAAATATCGAATGTAATCATAATATATTTCTTCAGTCAGCTTTATAGAGTGAAGTTGCATAATAATACAAATTGCTTGCTGTGCTGTATATGTGTAAATGACATGATTGATGTTCTGTCCAGTTATTTCTTTAACGAAAATATATTTTTAGGTAATAACACCTTTTGAAATGTTAATCGCTAAAACATTTTTACATATCATGGGTGATATTATTCATTAGTTTACTTTATCTTTTAAGTATTATTGAATCAAAGAGGGTTTTCTTAAATGATTATTTTAAACATTATTTCGTTTGACTATGATATTTTTGGCGTGAACAATAGATTTTGTATTAATTTATGGCAATGGTCCTTATCGCTCTAAGAAAAATAATCAAATTAAATGATCCGGCAACTGGGACTCCGGTTAATTACGGTCCGAATCGCCGGGACCCTCTAATATTGCACTTAGTATGCTAGTAACTTTAAAAAGTACGCAAATATGGCTAAAATAGCTTAAAAATAATTACACTTCTGTTTATCTTGTGATCTATGATAAATAATGAATAACTGTAATATGCTTTTGCTAGCAATTGAAATATATGAAAGATGCACAGTGTGTTTAAAAAAATAATGTTCTGTTACAAGGAATCCTTGTAATGCCGAAATTTTAGCTAGTGTGAATAGTCGATAAACACTTATGGCCCTACAAATAGATACGGCGGAGTCAATTTAGTAAAATTCCACTTGTTTCAGAGTTATTTTAAATAAACCAGACCATAGCCTCTTAAAAGTATTTTCTCAGGCTTGAAATAAAAATATGACGCATACTGAAATCACAGATAACCATAACATACAGTTCAGCATAGTATTACTTATAAGGTTATATTAAGGTGACTTGGACTAGCTCAAAAAGTTTGTTTTACGTTATGCAAACAATTGCTGAAAGAAAAAGTCACGCGTAAACTTTGAAACTTCAATCTTCGTGATGCATTTGAAAAAGCTGAGAAGTTCGCATGCCAGTCACGTATCCTTAGTAGGGCGCGAATCCAACACGTACCTCCCGCAGCCCTAACGGCCCTGTAATGGCTATAGCCCTATAATAGATCCGACTACCCACCAGCAAATTAAAATCCCTTTATGCGTACTTTTGCGTCACTTTCTTCTAGATAATCGAAATTAAATCGACGTGTCCGAAATTAGAACGTGCGTTAGGGAGAAGGCTCTTCGGAATATAGATGTAATTGTATCAAATTTCTGTTGGTTGTGTAATGATTTGCCTGTTTATACAATTTTTGAGGATTTTAAAATTGTTGTATTTTACGCCGGGTTTTTGTAAGTTTTAATATTACTTATTTGTTTCTTTTTTGCTTGCCTGTGAAGCATAGTGCTAGCTTTTGGTGGCAGAAATGTAAAAGTAAACTAGTAGTGGCCTGTTTAGCAAAAAAAAAAAAAAATGTAAGAAATATTTTTCCTGATGGTGAGTTGACAGCCTTTTGGTGGCAGTGAACTAGAGAACCACTCATCTTCGTTCATCTACAATTTAGGTACTATTGTTGCGTCATTATTACCTAAACACTTTAGCGTGTATTAACGAATATATTTGCTTAGATTTAGGATGGCGAGTCTAAAGTCAGTGTAACTTCGGACGATTTTCCTAATCTCTACCCCTTTTCAGTTTTGGAAGATTTCCTAAAAGTAATCTTTATTAAATTAAATATTTAGTTACTCTTATTTTATTAGTATTTACTTACTACTTACAACATTTGAAATCCTAGCAGTATAAGAACCATTTAATATGAATTAGTAACGATCTGCCTTTTGTTTAGTTTGGTTAATAATCCACTATTGCTTAATACGGACGATTCCTTGAGATCTAAACATATCCCGGTCAAGAATTTGATAAGTTTTTCGCTCAAGAGAGAACTGTGACGACTTTCACATAGAATGAAATGAAGAAATACACTACAGCGCCGTTTATTCTAATCCTGTATCGCGATATTAATAATTCTCTCGCCGATTAGCATATATGTATACAACTTCCCAACATCTACTGCTTGGCCCGCAGCCCGCCAGGTATGATCACGGCCTTGTCGGATGATCCTCCATTTGTGTTGGACATGACACCCGTTCCTCCTGGACTGGAATCAGCACACGATTCTCTATCTCTTTTTACATGTACTCTTTTGCACCCTTTATGCTAATGCTGAGAGAGTTATAATCTCACCATGACGTCTTGCGAACACAAAGGAAATGCCGCTAAACTTTGTATTTTAAAATAACATAAGATACCTAGTGCTTTTGTACTCATCACATACACAAAATAACATCGTTAACAATTGAATACTGTACGTACTATTCTATCCTTTAAAAAACAAATTGTATTTGTCTTATTTTGTCCGTCTTAGAAACCGGAATATAAGCGATTTAATTCAACTAAAAAAATATAAGTAAGAATAACTAAACACATAAATGATGGAAAGTTTACCATTTAACAAATGATACTGAAACAATCGAACCAAACAAAATTTGAAAAAAAAACTTTAAATTGAAAACAT